AGATCTGCATGATAGGCCCAAGACCAGGTCTTATGAACAAAACCCAATTACATGTCGTTGCCGTAGTGGGTTGACATTGACCCAACTATGTTGGTTTGGGCCTGCCAGTAGCATACCCAAAGCACTATAGGCCCTTAATTAGTGGATATTAAGAAGTTTTTCTTCTTCTTCTTAATGTTTTTCTTAGTTGGGGGTATTATAATTTTATTTTATTTGGTTATCTAAACATCTCACATACGCATTACTAAGTGGCTTAGTTCATACAACAGCTTCCCCGAATGGGTGCGACTAACAATCTTAATTAGACTTAAAAAGCTATGCATATAGAGTGACACCCTCTATGAAGTTATGTATTCATTTATATCTATTTATTCGACCAAGACAAAATATAATTTTAGAAAATTATATCCAAACATGCATATCAATATACATTTAGCATAGAAGTTGGAAATTCACAGTTTTATTGTCCAAAGTCCAATCTCCTTTCCACCAAATAGACAACTTATTCTTTATGTCATAAAATAAAAATTAATAAAATTAAATTCATTTTAAGAGATTATAAAAGTAAATATATAATTTTAAAACACGTTCAATACATATATTATCAGGTACATATATACCCGTGTTTGTTTTTAAATGCCGTGTAATCATATATTTGTTTCAAGTAAGTGAAATGTTTTTACATAACACAATTAGTTGTTTAATAAATATCAATCAGATAAGCCAAATAACATGAATCTTACCTTGTTGGCCTTGTACTCACTTTGTGCAAACAAAAATTAGAGAAGTTAGGTTTGTGTCAATTCATTTTATTTAAGATTGAAGATGATGAGTGATATATACTCCCTCTGTCCTAACAAAAAAAAATATCATACTTTTTTTTTTTTTTTTGGTCCGTCGCAAAATAATTATCACTTTTCTTTTTCAAATAATATATTACATCTTTTCATATGTCTTTAGAGTTTAAAATTTTAAATTTAAATATTCAAAATTTAGAAACAAATTAATAACTTTTGTTAGAGGTGAGACATGTCTTACACGTCCCTTTAAAAATTCCTATTATCCAAAAGTGATATTTAAATTAAAACACAAGGAGCAGTTGATACACAGTGTGAATATGATGGTAGTTTCGGCTGGCTGTCAAATGCATGCATTTCTGGTGGAAAATGCTTTTTTTGCTACCAAATGGCTTGTACTGGATGACCATGACATCCCCATTGATGTGAAAAAGTATACGACATTTGTAGTCAAAGCTTTATTAAAGTTGTTGATTAGAATAGTGTAACTTTATTTAATAAATGAAGAAAAATAATAATAGTTATTGTCACCGACTCATTTTAAAAAAAAAATTAGGTTATGGGAGCTTTCTCATATTAAAAGTCAATGATAAAGTCTTCATATATATTAACGAAAGTGGTATTTATATATCGTCTTATTTAGAGATTTGATATATTTTGACTCATAAATTTGTACCGAACACTAATACCTGACGCTATGTAACATAAGTGGTCAGTTTTTTCTTGGAAGTCTTACTCTATCATTGACATCCTCAACCAAGTTCTTATGATTGCTGATCTTGATTCACAGACCTTTTCAATTGTCAATTATATACCTTGAATTTTTTCCTCCTATGAGGAGCGAATTCAATTGTGATTTATACCTTCTCAACAATATGCAACTAAAAAGTCAACAATGAAGGCCACATGCCCAATATTTTTCATTAAGAAAAAAAAAAAAAAAAAAAAAAAACACATTACACTAGTGAGTGCAATTGATATTGTTTGAACTATGAATTGATTAACTAACATATTAGTTCTAATCAAAAGTATTCTAAAATTATCCATCTTTTACCTCAATTAGTTCAAATTACACGTTTCACGGTTTTAGTGGGTATTATATTATTAATACATATTTTTTTTTAAAAAATTATTATTATGTATATATAAGATTAATGAACAAAAGAGAAATATTGACCTTGACAGCGTTCCATGCGTTTCTTAATCAACTCATCAAGGAACATAATGAAAAAATATTGAGTAGTGTGAGAGCATCGACTATAGTTTCCTGACCAATTGATGCTCGCTATTTCTTTCATAATAAAAAATAATTATCCTCCATTAATTTTTTTTTTCCTCCTAAATCACGTGTATTGGTCTCACAGGAGTGATGCCAACGGGTGGGCGCTTGCTCATTTACCCAAAATCTCGAACTATTGGGTAGTGCTGCATACCCACCCATTTATACCCAATCACTTTCCCATCCGATTCCGATATGGGACAAATGACCCTTGTTACATTCTCCCCCACCCAAACTCGCGACGCCCTCGTTGCGGTTCGGGCCACCCTGCTACCCGGGATGCTAGCCCGAACGCCTTCCGAACTGGGTGCTTGGCGTGACACCGGATCAAGGACTAGGTCTGGCTCTGCTACCAATTGTAACGGGTGGACGCTTACTCATTTACCCAAAAGCTCGAACTATTGGGTAGTGCTGCATACCTACCCATTTATACCCAATCACTTTCCCATCCGATTCCAATGTGGGACAAATGACCATTGTTACACCGTGGTACTATTTATATACATTGTATGTATTCCCCTTTCACACCATGCAATGCTTATTGTATTTTCTTTTAGCTAAGGTTTCGTTTGCTTCGACGTAAAATATTTGTTTTGAAAAATATTTTCCTTTTACAGGTAAAATATTTTTTTATTTTTTATTTTCATGTGCTTGACAAAGGTCTACGTCGAGGTTAAAGTTAAGTCCATCGGGCAGGACATGTAAAATAATTTGTTGAAAATTCATAGATAAGTTATTTTTGTCAAATTTTAATTTTTTTTTTCGTAAATATTTTACAACAATCAAACATCAACAAATAAAAAAAATATTTTATATCCAAACAAACAGAGCCTAAATCACTAATATTTTATGAACTTTGAAAAGGCATATATTCCCTTTCTAGTGTGAACAGTATGCATGGGAATATATTATATCAATCATATGAAAGCCATGATTCTGGTAGACTATTTAATTTAATTTAATTTCTAGCAAGTAAAAATTTTACATTAATGAATGAAAATTATCACTTAAATGATTGACTTATATTAAAAAAGAAAAAGATAAAAAAGAAGTAACTATATGTAATACATTATGCTTGGTTTTAAAATTCTTTTAAGCAAAAATAAAACAACTTGCTGAACTTGAAAATGACTTATAAATTTTATTTCAGTAAGTTATTTTTCGAACATATGATTAGATATCATATGCTAAACAATAAAAAATAATTTATATAGATATATTGATATGTGTATGTGTGTGTTTATGACGCGGCACTCGTTAATTAATGTATTATTTCTCTAACAGAGTTCTAATCTCATCATGTCCCCATCTTTATTCTAGAGTCGTAACTATCCTTTTCCCCGGCTTTGCTTCTATATCTCATCAATCATATAACCTTTCTCTGTATTTCTTGAGCTATTAATTTGTAAAGGAAATTGAAAAGTGAAAGGCCATCTATATACAATCTATGATTTTTTTTATTTTTATTTTTTCAATTTAGAATGATTGAATTATTGATGCTTTATGTTTCCTTTACGATCGAGTGGCGTAAAAAGTTAGGAATTATCCTTTTAGATACTCAAAGTTTGTTTGTTGAGAGGCTGAAAGTGAAGATAAAAAGTTGAATAGTAGAGTGTGGGAATCATATGCTATATAATCAGGTCACATCTACTCGATTAATAAATGTATTAAAAGATCACCTAAAACTAATGTTAACACCAACTAAATTCTAGTTCAATTTTATACTAGTTTGTAAATTGTAAGGTTGATGAAATCACACCGTCATGTTCATCTATCAAAATCGAATTATATTTGAAGGAATTCTAGATTTTGAAATATATTGTTATGGAATTTTTGAATAAACAAATTAAAAATTATAATAAAAATTCATTTAAATTCTTTTCACTTTCTCAACCTTCTTTCATATCCAAATTTTAAAATAATTTAATTCAAAATTGAATATAAAAGAATATAAATCAACCATTTTTCTATCAGTTAAGAGGATAGTCATGATACAAGAAATTATTCTATTTGATATGTCATTATAATTGGATCATATTATTAGATATGGTATCAAATTCATGTACTAAAAAATAAATTATTTTTTCTTTATTTATGTATTTATTTTGATATATTATAAAATTATAAAGCGCAAACTGCATAAAATCCTCTCTTGTTTTAATTTTTGGCAAAAACCCCCCTCCAAAATATTTTTTGACATAAAACCACCACAAGTTATTTGTTTGTTGCAACACTACCCCTAATGATGAAAATGCCCCTTAATATAATATACATATATTTTAAGAAAAGGGTACCCCTTAATATAAGATTAAAGTTAATACAAATAACTCATTCAATATAGTGTTATCAAGAAATCATTTCTGAAAAATAAAAATGAATGGTACGGTGTGTCTATAAAAAAATAGAAGTACCTTGGATTTTTAAAATTTTCTTAAAAATAAAAAAGGCAAAAAAAGCCTGAGACGAAAATTATTTTAAAGAAACCTAAATTTTCTTAAATTTATATTAAGGGGCCTTTTGTCATTATAACATCACTTTAATGGTGTGTAATTTTTAAATTTTCTTAAAGTTCTATTTTTTAAAAAAATTAAAATGGAATAGAAAACATAAAATGAAAATCATTTGAAAAAAACTCTTAGGGGCATTTTGGTCATTAGGGTGCAGCGTTGCAATAATAATAAAATGTTAAAGGGTGTTTTATGTTAAAAAATTTTGGAGAGAGGTTTAATGTCAAAAATAAAAAGTAGAGGGGGTTTATGCAATTTTCCCAATTATAAATGTTAGAAATAAAATCATGACAAATCAGGTAATTAAAAAAGTTCAAAGGATATTAACATATGGTTATGATTTGGCCATCCATGGCACGCACTAGAACGGCGCGTGGGGAATGTATTTCGCTGGAAAAATTGGAACCATATTTCATATTTGCCACATACAGATTTGATTACGGAAGTGGACAAAATAACATTCCATTTTAGAAGAAGAAGAAAGGCCTTCTGGCTCATCAATCTTTGGCCCAAAAAAGAAAACCAGAGCTGTAAATTTCTTCATCAACTCACACCATCCTCACACAACTTCTCATCTATCTTTATATCTGTAAGTTTATGCGTATAGATTCGTTCCTTTCTTTTTTTCAGACAAGTCTTTTTTATTAATCTCTGAATTATATAGCACTATTCATCTTCTGGTACTGTGTTTTCTTTTTTGAGCTATTAATTTGTAGAAACCATTGAAAACCCATCTGTATCTGATCTATGAACTGGGTTTCCTTTGTGGGTTTTCAGATTTTTGAGGGAAAAAAAAGAAGATAGAATAGGTTGATTCTGAGGTATCCATTATCTGGGGCTTTGAATTTTTGAAGGTGTGTGTTTTCATTAAGAGTTAGAAACCTCTTAATGTTTTGTGTCCTTGGAGGTTGAAGTGGAAATGAAGTCTGTGGGTTGAGAGGTTAAAGTGGGAATAAGTTGGAATGACATGTACAGAGGGAGCGAATTAAAGTTGTTGACTTTGAAGGCATATGAATGAATTCATGTTTGGGTTTTCTAAATGGGATTATTTAATTTCTCCATTTTGTTTTGTGATTTTTAGAATCGTTTCTTATGAGATTAAAGAGGATTTTCTGGAAAAGGAACTGCTGGATTTCAATTGAAGATTTGGGGATTCTTGTGGTTTCCGAAAAAAAATAAAAAATAAAAAAAAATAGTGAATTTATTTATTAGGGTTCTTAAATACACCCTTTTGAAGAGACAACATATCAAGAAAGGAATTCCCAATTCCCAATTCGGCTCCCTTAGTGTTCTTGAGGCTTGTGATTAAGAGAGAGAGATGCAGCGGGTTCGAGTTTCTTCGCATCAGGTGCCTGTGCACAAGTTGGGGGATTCCCAAATGACCTTATCCCCAAAGTTTAGGTTAGCTGCAATACAATCATCTTTGTCGGATCCTTCTTTGGAATTGGAATTGTGTATGAGGGGAGAACCCCTCATTCCAGGCCTCTCTGATGATATCGCTCTCAATTGTCTCCTCCGGCTTCCAGTTGAGAGCCATGGGGCCTGCAGGGCTGTTTGCAAGCGTTGGTATCTATTGCTAGGCAACAAGGAGCGATTCTTCACCCGGAGAAAGGAACTTGGGTTTCATGACCCTTGGCTATTTGTGTTTGCCTTCCACAAATGCACTGGAAAAATTTTGTGGCATGTTCTTGACCTCATCCACTTCTCTTGGCATACTATCCCCACAATGCCTTGCAAGGACAAGGTTTGCCCCCATGGATTTAGGTGTGTTTCCATCCCCAACGAGGGTGTTATTTTCGTCTGTGGTGGTGTGGTTTCTGATGTGGATTGCCCCATCAACTTGGTATTGAAATATGAAATACAGAGGAATCGTTGGACTGCGTTGAAAAAGATGATCACTGCACGGGCATTTTTTGCTAGTGGGGTGATTGATGGGATGATTTATGTGGCTGGAGGAAATAGCACAAATCTCCTCGAGCTTAATTCAGCTGAAGTAATGAACCCTGCTAAGGGGATTTGGCAGCCTGTTGCAAGCATGGGAACCAACATGACCTCTTATGATGCAGCAGTTCTCAACGGAAAGCTTCTTGTAACTGAAGGATGGTTTTGGCCTTTTTATTTCGTACCTAGGGGTCAGATTTATGACCCAAGAACTGATCTTTGGGAGAATATGGCTGCTGGGCTGAGAGAAGGCTGGACTGGTTCCAGTGTTGTGGTTTACGGGCACTTGTTTGTGGTTTCAGAGCATGAAAGAACAAAACTTAAGGTTTATGACACAGACACTGATTCTTGGGAACGAGTAGTAGGACCTCCTTTACCGGAGCAGATATGCAAGCCTTTCACTGTCAGTTGCTGTGATTGTAGGATCTATGTTGTGGGTCGGAATCTTCATGTTGCTGTGGGCCATATCTTGAGGCTGGAACCAGAAAGCACTTGTGAGAAAAAGTTGAGCTTTTCTGTTCAGTGGCAAGTGGTGGATGCACCGGAAGCCTTCTCCGAACTCACACCTTCAAGTGCACAGGTTCTGTTTGCTTAATTTCTTTTTAAGTATAATGTTCTGCGTAAATTGTAACCATACCAAAATGTCAAAGCTGTTGAGTGATGAAAGTTGTGTGAAATGGCTCTTAATGTTATTAGTTCAGGTGTACTAATCACAAGGCCTTTTTTTTCCTTCTCACTTTCTTGTTCAAATGCATGTTGTGGACGTTTCAACCTTAATTGAATTGTGTGTCCTGGTATTCTGGTATTCTTGGATGAACTATTCTTTCTAACAAGGTATCGGAGCAATGGAGCCATTAGTTTGATGTTCAAACCAGAATTGGTCCAATATTCAATTAATGTTAGCTGATATTGAAAAGGTTTGAGATTGTTATTTCATTGATGATTTACTTGAACTGAAAATCAATGCAATTTAGAATATACGTATGTTTCAAGCTCTTGATTTTGCAATCTGAAGTCTTTAATGTGATTCTCAAATGAATGAAAATTTATTTACCTGTTTAATTAAAAACTTCCCTTATAATATCAATATGCATTTCCCTTTCCTTTCGATTTTGAAATTTCTTCTCGTATTATTATTATTATTGGATGTGCTTATGTGTTCTTTTTGGGATGTGGATCAACCTGATTTTGTTATATTTATATATATCTTCTTCTTCTTCTTCTTCTTCTTCTTTTTGGTTGATTTGTTGGGTAATTGAAAGTCTGGTTTAAAATGAAGACCGACAAATCATTTGCTAAGGCGCTACTTTCCAAGTGATTTCTTAAAATAGAGGAATGACCCGGTGTCTCTTTTCTGTTCTGAGAAGTAAAAAGCACTTTAATCTTTTTCCGGTTGATTATGTTTTCAGGAACTATAATTATGCACCAGTTTGATTCTGTTGCTTTATTGCTTTGTTTGATTGCTGAGAAAAAGCAAGTAAATTAGAATTTTGAATTGAGATTTTTGGACATTTCGAGTATGTACCCGATCAATGTATCGGACCATGTCGGTATCAAAGAAATGTCAGATTTAATTAATTCAGGCCTAAAAAAGACTAAAAAAGAGAGATTAATTTGCTCTTGTTATATCTGAGACTTCTTCTAGCCATTTATGTAAACCAATAATAAATGAAAGCATTCTTTTTAATTACAAATTTAAAAATAAAAAAATTAGGTGTCCGTTTGTTAGTTATTAAAAATGAGAGTGAGGGTGTACTCCATTCTAGCAGTTTATTGGTCTACATTATCTATCAGGAAGGAGTACAACATCCTAACAGATGAAGACTTAAATATTATTCAAGTCAGGAAGTGTGCCCACGCACAAATCTCTTATCGTAAATTCAAATCCAGAAATTCAATCAGCCACATCACTTCTGCCTTTGTATTTACCAGAATTTTATAAAACTTTCAGGGGCGTTAACATTTTTAGAAAAACCAGGCAAATCATTAGAAATGTCTATATATATATATATATATATATATATATGCAATAGGAATGGGACTTCATTCTTGTTCTTTGTTGCATAAAAATGCATTCTAATTGAACCGTGCCTGGTTGTTTGAAACGGCCCCAACCGAAGGCTGCTACACTGCAAATGAAATCTGACTACTCTGTGTTTGAAACTGCCCCAGCTGAGGGTTGATTCGATTTGAGCCACTCTTGATCTCCCCACCCTGTCCTGTTGAAGACAGGGACTGACCCAGAAAAAGTGAGTGAGTGGGAGCGACTTTTAACAAAAAAAAAATATTGTGGGAGTATTAGTGAAATTTTTCTATAATGTCAGGGGAGTAAAATTTAAATTTTATAGGTCTATAAATCAAAAAATAAAATTAATAAGTAAAAAATACAAAAAAGGAAAATTTTCATTAGTTAGGGCCTGTCCGTGCTTTGAAGAATATGTGACAGAGCTTAATGAGTTCATGCAGCTGACAAGAAAGTACAAGCTCTAATGCTTTGGCAACCACCATGCAATAATGATTTAGGAAAAAGTTTTATGTTAAAACAAGCTCGTGAACAATATTGTTCTTTATTTTCGTCCGCGAAATCACTAATATCAGCTTCTGAAAGTTCATGGTCTCAAATAAAAGAACAAAACCATTGAGATATATTGGACAAAACATCTTAATCTTAGAAGGCAAAAGACGAAGAGGCAGACCAAAGTTTTCTTGAGATGAAGTAATAAAAACGTCTTAAAAAAATTTAAATATAAGAGAAGACATGTACATATGGTATAAAGGGCAGGAATGATGATGATGTTGAACAAATATAATACAATGAAATTTGTTAGACAAATAATAAAATTAAGGTTAATTACAATGACACCCCTTGAGGTTTGCCATAATGACAACTATATACAAGTTGAGCCTTTTTTTAACAATAACACCCCTCAAAATTTGATAAAGGTAACAAAGACACCCCAATGATTGCATGCCACATTTGAATTGACAAATTTACCCTTTGTCTTATAAATTGACCAAATTGAGTAATGAAATTACCTTTCTAATCTTTATCAATAAAATTAAAAAAAGAAAAAGAAAAACTATTTTCTTTCCTTCTCTCCAATATCGTCCGTTATACACACTTTAATCACTCATGGATGTTGCCGCCGCCACCAAAACCTATATACTTCTTTGTGGTGATGGTGGCAACGGTGGTGGGAGGGATTTAGGGACGAAGAGGGCTATGATTTGGTGGTGGGTTCAAGGGAGAGGTCGTGAGTTTAGTGGTGGGTTTTTAGGGTTAGGGTTTGGCCGCGGTTGTTCTTGTTTCACCATGAAGTTTGTCGCACCTGAAACTCACCGGAACTTCACTGGTTTGGACGGTGATGATTAGAAGTTCACTGTAGCTCTTCACCGGATTGATGCACGCTGGATATTTATGGTATCGATTTAGTTCGCTGAAGCTTTTAGGCCAAGATGATGGGTCTCGGTTAGAAAATGGATGATGTAATGTACTGATGTTTTGAAGCTCACCGGGAATGATATTGATTGAGATTTCAATTAAAAAGATGTTAGGCCGGTTCCTCATGTGCCTAAGAAGTAATCCGGCGAACCACCACCACCCACCTTCGTCACCATCCACCGCTGATGGAGCCGTCGTCGGCGGCGGCGAAGGGGGAAACAACCGAGACAGACAAGCTGAATCATTCTTCCCGCCGATCTCCGAGATCTGCAATGTGAAGCCGGTACCAGGAAGCAGATTGAGGACAAAAGTGTGGAACTCCAACAGCTTGTCGGCAATCGGTAACGCAATCTCAGCGACTCCACCGACTCTATCGTCCAGATGACAGCCTTATGCGTGTCCATATCCGCCATCCAAATTCACCATCTCTCCACTCCCTCTTGTGTGAATGCCCTTTTATTTATTTTTGTGGTATTATTACTATTTTTTTTTCCCTATTTTTGTATCATAAAAATACCTTTGGCGTTGGTGGAGGACGGTGGGATGAAAGTGAAGTTGGGGTTGGTGGTGTGGTGTAGTGTGTTGTGTTGTCTGGATTCAAGATATACACATATATTTTTATATATAATATACTATATACATATATAGAGAGAGAGAGAGGGAGAGAGAGAGAAGGACTTCTGATGAAAGAAGGCGAGAGAGGAGAGAGATTGGTAAGGTTTAATGATGGGTAAAAGTGTCATTTAAGAATTTTAATATTTTATAATAAAATATTTAAGGGTAATATTGACATTTCACATCTTTTAAGGAATTGTTTGGATTCATTTTTTGACAGGGGTGTCATTGTTAAAAAAAAACTCACCTTGTATATGGTTGTTATTATGAAAAACTTTAGGGGGTGTCATTATAATTAATCTATAAAATTATGTAAGCCTATTCAAGCCTATCCAAACAGGTGACTATTGTAATTTAGACTTTTGCAGCCGTTACACGCATCTTGCAACAGTGCTAGAATAATCGGCCTCATAAATCACTTTTTAAGTATCATTTTTTCCCATCACAAACAGTTCGGTTATTGATGGGGTCAATTAATCAGTGTGAAATGACAGTCCCGTCAACCATTGTGGCATGTTATGCAATGCATACTGTTTTTCAGATTTGCATGTGATACATTTCTGTAAAGAAAGTAAATAAAAAGAAAGGTAAAGTATATGATGGCGAGCTTACCATAAAATTTTCACTATGTTCTAACCATGTATAATGTAACATTATTCACCATCTCATCAATTGTTCTTAAATATTTAAGAAATATGAAAAATAAAGAACATGTCAACAGATCTATATATCATTTCTATGTTAATTGAATAATGTAGCATTATTCATCATCTCATCACTTGTTTTTAAATATTTAAGTAATATGAAAGTTAAAAGAACAGGTAAACCAGATCAATATATCATTTCTACATTAATTGGATACTTTAAGATGTCAAGTCTCTTCTACCCACTATTGTTGTTCTGTGGATCACATCGCTACTGAAAACAAACGAGAGACTGCCCTACTCTAAACGTATATGTCAAATGGATGTTCAAATTCTAGATAATGAGGTAGACATTTGTCGACATTGTTCTCATTTCAGTGTAACTACAAATTAACTAATGCATCTGGGACAGCAAAATGAGGAAATGAAGCTATCAACGGGGCCTCAGGCCAGTTTGTCACCTAGACTTTCAACTATCAAATGAAACAAAGTAGAGAGTGGTCTACAGAAACCAAATAGTCCCATTGGTGGTCGAGATTGTAAGTTTTATAGAACAAAATTATTTGCCTTATTGTACTAGATTATATCTTGAAAGTATAAATATTAAAATTTGAATTTTCCATCCATTTTATTTTATTTTTCATTTAGTAATGCAAGCTATACTTACATAAATTTAAACTGAAGCAGGAAATGTAGGGTAAACAGAAGCAGGAAATATAGGGTAATCTTTCATGAACTCTAAGATAACTAATCTCTATTGCAGTTTGCTGGAAGCACCCACCTTGAAGAGGAGGAACTGGAAAAAGATGAGCAAGTGCTTCAGAGCAATCCCCACTCTGGAATGCTAAATCTTTCATTGGTCATTGGCATTTCTTTGCATAGTTGTGCCTCCTTCAAGCTAGCACTATTGGCAGACCTGTCAATCATAGAACTTTTTTTTTTTTAAAAAAAAAAAAAACAGAGAAAAAGCATCTGTAATTGTAGTGTCATTCACAATTTCATACATGGCCAAATTATGCAAAGGTTATGTATCAAAAAGAAGTATGTTTCCGCTCGTCTACTCTAAAAATTGGTATATGAAAACAAGTATGTGTCGAAAAAGGAAAAAAAAGATCCTACTTTTTTAAAGAATGAAGGACAGAGGGGCACAAGATCATCCTTTTTTCCACACACAAATAACATATTCAGGATGCAAATTTCGAAATATTACAATTTGAGATAATAATAACGTCATGGTTAGCAAACTAGTTTCTCATGCTCCAACAAATGAAGTGCCATGACGCCCTTGGTTTAGTGCACAAAGAAAGAGATGACATTCATTTATTAATAATCGTATGACAAGAAATCCAGATAGGAAATGCATAGAGTTGAGAATCTTGAATTCCTTTACTGAGATATAAACATTGATAGAGATATAGCAAGGAACTTTCCCTGAAACTTCTTGAGAAAACTCACCTCGCCTCCTAGGCCCATGTGTGAGCTCAGCCACCGCGCATGTGCCATTGCAGGCCAGGAAAAGAAATTCATGGCCAAAGTCCAGGCTTCATGGCATTGTCACTTAGAAGCCTTGCCAAAATGTGAATTGACCTACAAAAAGGGAAAAGAGAGCATGAGTCTACAAGAATATAGGTTGATTGAAGTTAAGTACTAACATGTTTCAATATTAGAATTTCCTTTGGGTTGAGACAGCATACTGTTATGAAAAGGTCTAAATTTTGTAGTAGCAAAAAACCATATGATTCAGTTACACCCAAATCATCCATCTTATTAGTTCGAGTTAAGAAAGATTAATGTACAAGTACAGTGTAGTAGAATATTCAGTAATAAGGATTGATAGAGAAGATTTAAGCAAGTAGATTTGAGCATCTTCACACCAGAGCACATTAACAATTCTGTCTTTTAGATTTCTAGACAATTCAATAAATGATGGTTTCGAGTAAATAACACATGCCTGCTTTTGAGGGCACTGCAAATGCTAGTTTTTGAGTCGATTAATCAGAACTGAAATTTCTCTTTGATTTGTTCATCCAATGTACTTAACATGCTGTAAACATTACTTCTCTGCGGGTGAGAAGAATCTCCAGCAATAAAAACATTTTTCCACCTCGTGGTAGGTTCTACAAGCACCCAACAATACATCCCCCTATATTGGCATTAGCTTCAATGGGCATATTAATTACAAAAGAATAGGCAAGCTCAATTCAACCTCCTCGAGCAAGGAGATCCACTACACAAGCATACTGCTCCATTAGTTGGTTTAATCCCATGCACCTTCTCTACTGAATCAAAAATCTCCAACTCTTCATCCACCAGGCCAGAATGACCGCAAGCAGACAAAACCGCAGTTATTATAACATGGTCTGGTTTTACACCCAACTCAAGCATGTGAGAGAAAACCCCAACTGCGTCTTCTCCCATTCCAAGCATCGCATATCCTCCAACCATAGCCGTGAACATAACCAGGTCCTTCTGCGGAGTTGACTGGAAGAGATTATATGCACATTTTGTACTCCCACATTTTGAATATGCATCAAAAATAGCTCCCTTCAAGCGAACATCCTCAAAACAAGCCCTCACCACATATCTGTGGCATTGCCTTAGCAGGTGGACTGAGGCCATTTGAGCACAAACGGGAAGGAGGCTCATAACAGTCACAGCATCAGGCTTCATTCCATGACGTTTTAACTCATGGAACAGACTCACAGCTGAACTAGGACAATCATTTTCAGCATAGACTCGAACCATTAGATTCCAAGTGGTGAGATCCATTTCAAACATCCTGTTAAATATCATGCGTGCATCATCGTGTTAACCAAAATTTATGTATCCTGAGATCATTGAGTTGCACGTGACCACATTCCTCTTCCCTGATAAGCTCTCAAAAATCTTCAATGCATAACCTACGTTATCACACTTAGCATATGCATCAATTATTGCATTCCCAAGAGTAGGTCCAATATTCCCTAGCAAAAGACCAGATTTTATTGAAAAAGCATGAGAACAGACGGGAAGAATACTGCTAAGAGTGACAGAGTCCGGTTTGGTCATCTCAACGGACAGCAAATCATGAAATAACTCTAATGCTTTCAACCACTCACCATTATTGAAAATTGTATCTTTCGAAGGAAAAAGGGAAAAAGCTTCATTCATCATGCTTGGCATCGGAGTTGTAGTCCAAGCATATTCTCAACCATGTTTTCTTCTCATTCACACCAGTCCTTTAAAACAACACTCTCTGTCATGGGTTTCATCAATACATTGAGAAAACTCTGTATCACTCCGTCACTGGCAATACAACAAGATTGAAATGGGTGGGTTTTTCCTTTACCTGCAACTAAAAATTAGAGTATGACAAAGACCAAATCCTATCAGTCATTGGTGAGAAAACAATGAGAATCGATATCAGAAGTCACAAAAAAGTTAATTAGAACGCACCACCATTGCTAACATGGAAAAGAAAAAATGGTATTGTTATTTCTCTCAACCCTACCAACAAGGGCATCTCATTCATCATAACCATTACTTCCCAATTGGGTACAACAAACCATTGTTGTATATCTGGTCTGACTTCACAGGCCGTTTGGCCGTGAATTTGTTGAATGATCCGTGATTTACGTAAATATACAACAAATTCTCTTCGTCTTGCTTCCTACTCTTCTCGTCGGAGAGAGACGCCGGTGGCATGAAACCAGCGCTTACACCCATCAAGCTGCAACCCAAATATTAAACCCAAACTCACATCACATTAGTGAAGATTTGGTAAATTCAGATGGTTGAGAATCACGAATTGAAGTAGTACAGCCGGCGAGTGGTTGAAGCAGCGATTCAGGGCCGAAGGATGCGAACAGAATCTGCCCTACCTTTCACCTTTCCTTATCAGTGCTTCGCGAACTTTCCAATGTCATAGAATGGATCGCGGCCGGAATCCTAACACGGAACCGACCGCACCGACGTTTGATTAGGATTTGACTTTCCTAATGTCGACGTTTGATTAGGTGGCGGCCGGTGGTTGCCAGATATGTGAAAACTGGATTCCAATTTTCAATCAGTGTGGTTAAAGGGCGGTGGTGGTGCTTAGTGGCGATGGTGATAGGAGGTGGACCGTGGAGAGGAGAGCGAAAGGCGAGAGAAGAAGAGGGGAATACTGGGAAAAGAAAAACAAAGAGAAAAACAAATTAAAAATAAAAAGAAAAAAGGAATATTTTATTAAACGAAAGCGTCATTTAACATGTTCATATATTTTAAATAATTTAACAACATAATAACGAGGGTAAATAAATCAATTCAATCCAAAATAATAATAATAATAATAATAATACAATTAGACCAAACTTAAGAATTACTACCGTTTTTTTAATCCTAGTTACAAGTGGAAATTTTTATTTTAATACCCTAGTTACAAGAGGAGTATTTTTTTTATCCTAGTTACAAGTGGAGTTAATTTTTTTTTACTTTGCATACCACCATTATTATTATATATAGATGGAAGACCTCTCTTCTTTCTTTCTATACTTTGTTTATATATATATATATATAGACGTGCGGTGTAAGTTTTAGTATTAGTGTGTTATCAAACTGTGTGCGAGTTGCTTAATGGAGAAGAAGGAGAAGAAGAAAGGTATGGGGCGCAAAAAGATCGAAATCAAGAAAATAGAGAATTCAAGCCGTCTAATGGTTACTTTCACAAAGCGTAGGGGCGGACTCTTCAAAAAGGCTGCTCAGCTAAGTGCAATGTGTGGTGCCAATGTTGCGGTCATCGTCAAGTCCCCCAACGCCGGGAGGATTCATTCCTTCGGAACCCCATCCGTGGACGCCGTCCTCAACCGCTTTCTCTACCAAAACCCTAGTGATCATCATGATCAGGAAGTCATGGACAAATGCAAAGGCAAGAAAGATGAAGAAGAAAAAGTGATGGAAGATAGGGATAGGGTTTGGTGGGACGCAGGGATTGATGAATTAGGGTTGAATGAGCTTGAGGAGTACATGACTGCACTCGAAGGTTTGAGGGAGAACGTGGTGGCTCGGGCCAATGAGATGACCATGGCGAGTGCTTGTTCATCCAATGAGATGCCCATGACGACTGCTTATTCTTATATCGATCCTTTTAGCGATGGTCTAGAATTTGACTTTACTGAGTCTGATCTTGATTTTCTCAATCAGATCATTAACAATTAGGGTCTCTACAGTGTGTGATTTTGATATATAAAATGAATTTGATATTGACAATGAAGTTTTCTGCCTGTGCTTTTACTTTTTGCAGCAATAATATTATACAATGCTAAAATCATGCCCACACTGAAATTTGATAAAAAAAAGAATCAAACTTCAAATTGACTGAAACTCTGTCGATGCATACAATGGTTATCATACTTATATCGAATCAATAATTTCACCGTTCTCGCTATGCTTTTTTGTTTTGCCAAATCAGGTGCCAATCCACCAAATCCATGCTCCGCTTTCGCACTACTTGTCTGTAAACCACCATGACTAGGAGGAAATCTTATACAAAGAAGGATTGGTGTTCCAACACAAGTCTCTCGAAGTGTGCTCTCGCTGTGTGTGTGTGTGTGTTATAGTAGCTACCCGTTCCGCCGCGTCTTGCTTTGTTTGTGCCCCCTTTCCAAATGTATTGACATGCTTGCTTGCTTGTCAGAATTCCCTATTCAATTACCAGTACAGAAAGGAAATAAAGAGCTCTACCATTCGATCCTACCTACGCTTGCCCGAGGCACCTCTACTCTATACAGATGAAAGATTATGGGCTGGAGAGCTTTCCGTCTTTATGGTGGATATATATATTATACAAAAGAATTTTCAGAAAACTCTATCAATGTATATAATGGTTTGCAGCTTCATCTTCATTATTAATAAACCAAAAATCCTTAACATGGTATCTACATCAATACCATCACCGAGTACCTGCAATAAAAGAAAAAAGTAAAATGTTATTTGCTATATATTGTAAATAGACAAATCTGCTGACAGATGATTCAAGTAGAATAGGAAAAGTAGTAAAATAATTCAGCAAGTAGAATACCAGCGAATGATGGAAAACTGGTGAACTAGCATAATAAAAGAATTCAGTAATAGTTTTTCTACAATGCTCCTGTATAACAAATGACATAAGAGTCCTTGCTTAAAACATGCATGCAGTCTCTTTCAGGAGATAAGTTTATCTCAAACTTAGTCTACAGAACCTAGATTAGTAAAGTGATGCGTTACAATTTACACATCATTCAATTGATAAACTTCATTTAAGTAGGAGAACAATAACAAAGAAAGCATATATATATATGTGTGTGTGTGTGTGTGTGTGTATCCCTTTGGTTTGCCAATAAAATAAATTAAGGGCACTAATAAAACAGAAATATATTTGAAAGAACTGTTACTTCACCAAAAAAAAAAAAAAAAATCAGTAGTACGACTAGCCAAACAACATAGTCAATGTCAACAAGTAACAGAAAATCCACATCCTGAAGACTCGAAAAGACAAGCAATACTTGCACTGCTTCCAATACCCATAGCATTTCTGCACTTGGTTTATATAAAAAAAAAAAAAAAAAAAACACTGTGAGCAGCTATTGGAAGAGTATTGAAATTAAAAAATTGCAGGTTTTACTTAAAAAGTAGAGCAAGTAAGTGACTCCAATGGCAAAAGTCATAAACACCTTAAAGTCCTCTAAAATGTTATGGAATTGTTAGTAAATAAAGAATAGGAAAAGAAGCATTTTAATGGTTTTGGAAGATTGTTCTCTTTAACTCAATTTTCAGACAATTGTTATTTACAACAGCTAAATTAATAGATCTTCAACAAACATGTCCTTAAATTTCTCTGTGAAAATTGGACCTAGTAGGCTACTACAGCTAGATATAAACCATATTCATTGACAAGCTGCCGAATTCAAATCCCAAGTGAGACCAACATTAAAGCTGGTGCATCATGGCAATCTTGACCATCTTTAGCCCTGATTCAAATTCAGAGCTAAAGATAATACGATAGAATGCAAAATATTAATAGAAGACATCAGAGAACTAATAATAATCTCCAACCTCAAAATAAATACTCAAGCTTTTAGCAAAAGCAAAAATGAAAAGGCTGATCGCTATCAATCTGCCTACCTCTACCAACATATGAGAGTAACTGCCAATGAAATTTTACTACCAAGGCTATAAACTGTATATCTAACACCAGAAGAGTGCCAGCCTTGAAAATTATAAAGATTAAATTTAAAAAATGAACATAAGAATACTATAGCATTTAAGATATAAACCAACCATGATTACAACATTACCAGATGGGTATCAGCAGGTTCAGATTGATTGCGGTAAGGCTGAGTTGGGGCAAATTGTTGGTCCTGGTTATCCCTAGAAACCATGTGCTACTGCAATTTGAGAAGAAGATTCAATTTGATAGATAAGTAATATATACAGCATGACCCCTATAATGTGTTCAATAAGAAATGACGATTAAAGATTTTAAACGTGTATTTTAAACCTCAAACCCACACTTACAGGGAAATTTTCATCCACCAAACTGTCATTAAAACTATAAGGCCTCCATCATAAGCGGACTTGCATCTATCAAGATTTCACATATATACCTCCCTTTCTAACAAATTGAATGAATTCTGGGATTTTGAAAGCCTTCAGTAAGTTTTAGCTTTGTGCTATGCTTGCTGTTTTCATGGTTGGAGATGGAATCTGCACTTCATGTGTTTGTGAGTTTTTCTGTATGCTCGTTTTTAAGCTTTAGTTTATCTTCTTTTACTTCCAATGTCATTGGGACTCCTTGCTTTGGTCAGCTCTTGTTAATTCCCCCCTGTTGGGTTGCTCTTTGTAAAGTTTTCATCTTTTATCCTAATTACCAATTATCGAGGGAAAAAAAAAAAAAACTTGAGGGTATTTCAGTCATATATAGGAAGATTGGTCTCTTTAACTCAATTTTCTGAAAATTCTTATTTAAAGCAGCTACAATAATAGTTCTTCATCAAACATGACCTTAAATTTGTCTGTGAAAATTGGACCTGGTACAGCTAAATAAAAACCATATTTATTGACAAGCTGCTGAATTCAAATCCCAAGTGAGACCGACATTAGAGCTAGTGAGTCAAGGCAATGCCCTAATTCAAATCCAGGGCTAAAGATCTAATACAATAGAATGCAAAATATTCAGTGTTCTACAATCATTGAAGACATCGGAGAAACTAATGATAATCTACAACCTCAAAAATAATTACTCTAAGCTTTTAGCAAAAGCAACTATGAAAAGGCTGATCGCTATCAATATGCCTACATCTATCAACACACGAGAGTAACTATGAATGAAATTTCACTACCAACGCCATAAATTCAAACTGTAGATCTAACGACAGAGAAGTGCCAGACTTGAAAATTATAGAGATTAATTTATAAAAATGAACATAATAATACTATAGCATTTATATATATACCAACGATGATTACAACATTACCAGATTAGATGGGAATCAATAGGCTCAGATCAATTGCGGTAAGCTTGAGTTGGGGAAAATTGTTGGTTCTGGTTATCCCTGGAATCCATGTGATGCTGCAATTTGAGAAGAAGATTCATTTTGATAGATGAGTAATATATACAGCATGACACCTATAACACGTTCAATAGAAACATAACGATTAAAATTCTTAAATGTATATTTTTAAACCTCAACCCCACACTTCTATTAATTTTTTAATCTTCACCTCCATTTACCAAATTATATGCCATTTGGTGATAATAAAAAAACAAAACTGACTTATAAAATTTAAACTTCAACCCGAGTATCCTTTGCAAACTGAAAACATTTTTAAACTTCAGAGCTAAATGATACCTCACTTTCAACTTGTCCAAAAAATTTCCTGGTATCCCTGCCAACTAACATTTGTGATGGCTTTCTTTAGTTGAGTCAAGTTATGAGTAATAAAATTAATTTTTCACCCAAAGAAAAGAAAAGGAAAACAAGAAACAAGTCTTCTCCTAATTTTTCTTTTTTTTCTTTCTTTTTTTTTTTTTTTTTTTTTTAAATATAACCAGCAGACCTTTAGCATATTATAACTTGAACATGATTCTTCATTTTCAGTTGTCAGAGGGGTTGCCAATTGCTTTAAGTCCGTCCTGCTCATGGGTTGAGGATATGAGAACAAACCAGAACCGCATAGGAAATTCAGCAATGAAAACAATAAATAAGTATAAAGCTTTCCACCAATAGGTGTTATAATTAAACACTATTTAAAGTTCCAACTGTGTTCATCCAGTTGCAAATAAAAGATTCTAAACCACATGCAGAGCAGCTAGGAATCACAAACACTAGACATTAAGGAGTTGTATCTTTGTTGAACACCGACCTTTAAGGGCATTTTTTTAACATGTGTCTGCCACTTCATGTACGTGTCCACAATTTAAAATTAAATTTAACTATTTTAGACACTTAGCCGACACTTCCCTAAGCACTTGCCTAACACGAACACATCTATAGTAGCCATCAACAATCTTGGAAATAATATGAACAAAAAAAAAAAAAAAATTCAGTGTCTCAAACATTTATATAGATTGACATTATACACCTGCTTACAAGTGAATCATACCATGATATTTTCATAACAAAAACATAATTGTGACAATCATTACATCTCGTTGTGTGATGTCCCTCCAGTTGTATAGGTGTGAGAAGAGTTAAGAATATTTATGAAGTAACTTGCTATGATTTGCCATAAAAATTCATAAAACAATGACACAAATATACAACAAGAATAGCCATTCTTCAGCAAGAACACTGTTTGTTCCACCTAAAGGGGAGAATTAAAATTTATTTCCATGGTTGTTCCTTTAGGAATGCATATCTGAATTAGAAAAAGAGGAATATTTAGGAACTACAGTGTTCTACTCCACAGATTATGCCGTCAAAGCAGAAAGTTTTCTACTTCACAGATAGCTGTAAGAAACATGAGAAGAAGATTCAAAATAGCCTCCATTCATACAAGGATACCCTTTTTTTTTTTTGATAAGTAAAATTTGTTGAAGAACCGCTCAAAAGGGGAGCGGGACCCAAGAACAAAAAACAAGGCCAAAACACCTTAAGCCTTCAAAGAGGCCAAAAAAACAACTAACTCATCTACAGATCGAAAATCCCTCCCTGAAACCCAACAAAAAAGAGTGGAAAGAATAGAGAACTTAAGCATAACGATAGGTTTTTCCTTTCCATCGAAGTATCTCCTAT